AATATTCTCGTGAGTCAAGTCACGCGCAGGACGAAAAGAAAGACCCGCTGCACCGTTGGTCAAAGTCGGGAAGTCGAACTACACCCCAACGTAATCATTCGGCTTCGATAAATTTGTCGCGTATCTGTGAATTTCGCGAAATGCACCCTTCACCTATTTTACTATTTCAGCACCAGGCTGAATTTCACGGATCTCAAATGTCGCCTCTCTCCCTATTACCCCGAATTTCTTAAATAAATATGTATTCGAACGATTGATTAATTAACATTTGTACTTTGATTATAGTGGCGTATATATAGTGGATTAATTATACTTTATATAATTATTTATTTGATATACAAATGTGTGTGTGAATGTAGGTAATTCTATTTAACTATGTGTGACATCTTAAGTGTAATAAAAAACGATATATATGTATATGTGTGTATTTATACGTTTATGTGTGTATATATAAAAAAAATATATATATGTATATATGTGTATAATAAATATATATGTATTTCTGTATACATATATATGTATGTATAAATATCTTTCTCTCTGACGATTCTGCTAAAATTGTACTAATCGTATTTGGAATTTTTCTTGTCTCACAAGGCTTCAAAATCTTTTTTGAAGCACTCAAACTATTCGTCTATGTTTCTAGATTGAGATAATGATATTTTTATCTAGATGTATATGGACAATNTTGCATATAAAGTAAAAATGTAGTTTCTGTAATAACAGTCTAAAAACTTTTTTTTGTTTTTCTTAAATTTTTAGGCTTTATCCCATTTTTTACTATATTTTCTTTATTTCTGGAGAAGCAGTTTTTATTCCGATTCATAGTTTTCACACACAATTCCAAATACGACATGAAGGTAAAACAGGACGGTTCAGCATCCTCTTAAGAGGGTCCTGGACCGTCCTGTTATTACCGATCGAAATAATTTGTATTAAGAGGTGTTTTTCGTAATTATTGCTCGGATAGAAAAACGGCTCCACAGAATTAAAGAAAATAATAAAATGTATTTCGGAGACTTTTCAATATATCAAAAATGTACCAAAACTTTTTGATTTACAATTAACATCACAATTTTTTGTCACATTTTTGATATATTGAAAAGTCTCCAAAATATATTTTATTATTTTCTTTAATTCTGTAGAGCCGTTTTCCTATCCGAGCAATAATTACAAAAAACACCTCTTAATACGAATTATTTCGATCGGTAATAACAGGACGGTCCAGGACCCTCTTAAGGGGATCTTAAAGTGAATCTATTTCATAGACTGAATTTACGGTGTATGGCGTCAGATCGTCGTAATAATTCTTTAATATAAAAAGTTGTGCAGTTTGTACGTAGAAAACCAACTGCGTCCCGTTTTCGGAACAACATAAAGAACAATATAGAGCTCTCAAACCTGTTTTTAGAAGGTTAGTGTAAATAAATAATGTGCGTGAAATGATGAATAAATAGTGTGTGTATTCCAATATTGTTCTGAAAATATTCACGCACACTATTTATTCATATTAGGCTTCTAAACGCATTTCTGAGAGCTCTATATTGTTCTTTATGTTGTTCCGAAAACAGGACGCAGTTGGTTTTTACGTACAAACTGCATAACTTTTTATATATTAAGCGAATATTATTACAATCTGACGCCAAAAGCTGTAAACACTCAATCGGTAAATCGACAAAATTTGACCGTCAGTTTAGGATCCACTTAATATTGCTGAATGAACTGCCCGACTCGGGTACCTGAGTCACAGTCGAAATACACATGAACTTGGCGCGAAACACTACCGTCTGTTCTTTCTCTTGCGAGACAACACGACAAATATTATTTGACATACAAACAACTTTTCTGCTTAAAAAAAAAGAAAGATAACGTCAGCCACATATTATACTAAAAAATTGCTCGCCATTGTTATATTAAAATATTAAAAGCAAGAATAAACACACATACTGAATTTAAACAAAATTACGGTTTTTATTTTGTAGGAGCCGTATATATTTATTACAATATATTATAAAAGTTTTTTAAAGAAATATTGTTTATAGCACACCCCACATAATTTTTTAAGATGACATTAGATACCAAGAATATTAGCCAGATGTTAATTTCGTTTTTATTTTAATTGTCATCGATAAATCAGTAAACCTTTGTTACTATTCTTAATATTACTGACAATCTAAGTATTACTAAGTACTGAAAAGTTTAACAGTTGTTCTCTCAGTATTTTGCCACATTTCCATCTCGTTTTGCACCATTATCTGTTTCACCACTTGACGTCTTCTTCTGTAAACATTATACACATTGCAATAAACACTGCTTTGTAAATAAAATTAATCTAAACATTATACATATTGTAATAAATACTACTTTGTAAATAAAATAAATATATCATTATATCCTTCTTTTCACTATTGCTTCCTAACATGAAGGCATTTAGAAAAGACTAAAAAAATTGATTAACATAAACACTGATTTAAAAACATTTTGCGTAACACTTTCACAGCCTAAGAGTCTTTAATTCGTAATTTAAAACATATGCATTTACCTTTCTATAGTATCATTTTTTTAAAAGATACATAACATACACTACCTTCGATACATATAAAAAATACCAGTAGCAATTATGATAAACAATAATATTGGAAGTAACCACAATTCGTAAGCCATTGAATCTGAAACAATTCCTATGCAAATTCAGACAAGAATAATAATTTTATTTTTATCATCTTGCGTGAAATATACCTATCATAGTACACTAAATATAAATACATAAAGAAGGTTAATATGGTAACAAATATGAAGTAATTTGTGCACATAGTTAAATATAAAGTAATACTTTATTACGTAAACTTTTGTTGTGATTGTCTTGCAAAGTCGCAAAAATAATGCGGTGTACGTGTTTTACGCAAGCGTGTAAGGATCCATACACAAGAAAAAAAATATCGAGACTTACGTTTGCAATCAGTTTTCACAGTTTGCCAGTTGCTTTCAATTGTTACATTCTCTGCAAGTAATGTGCATTTGACTGAATAAACAGAACCAGGATTTAAATGAGTAAAATATCCTATCAAATGTGTCATATTTTGAAACAGTCTATTCCATGATTGTGTAAAAGTGTAATTATTTTCTCCCTGTAAAAAAAACCAACAAAACATTTATTTCATTTTTTTTCTTTTGAATGTGTAGAACAATGGTTAAACTTATAGATCTTAGATTAAAAAACGTTTTTGGTACTTCGATAATAAGGAATCATAAAAAAAAAACTACTTTTTCGATTAGTATAAAAGAAATTAGGAAGAAATTATTATTTACCGTAAGAGTGAAGAAATACTTTATTGTTATTTGTTCGNTTAGTGTAAATAAATAATGTGCGTGAAATGATGAATAAATAGTGTGTGTATTCCAATATTGTTCTGAAAATATTCACGCACACTATTTATTCATATTAGGCTTCTAAACGCATTTCTGAGAGCTCTATATTGTTCTTTATGTTGTTCCGAAAACAGGACGCAGTTGGTTTTTACGTACAAACTGCATAACTTTTTATATATTAAGCGAATATTATTACAATCTGACGCCAAAAGCTGTAAACACTCAATCGGTAAATCGACAAAATTTGACCGTCAGTTTAGGATCCACTTAATATTGCTGAATGAACTGCCCGACTCGGGTACCTGAGTCACAGTCGAAATACACATGAACTTGGCGCGAAACACTACCGTCTGTTCTTTCTCTTGCGAGACAACACGACAAATATTATTTGACATACAAACAACTTTTCTGCTTAAAAAAAAAGAAAGATAACGTCAGCCACATATTATACTAAAAAATTGCTCGCCATTGTTATATTAAAATATTAAAAGCAAGAATAAACACACATACTGAATTTAAACAAAATTACGGTTTTTATTTTGTAGGAGCCGTATATATTTATTACAATATATTATAAAAGTTTTTTAAAGAAATATTGTTTATAGCACACCCCACATAATTTTTTAAGATGACATTAGATACCAAGAATATTAGCCAGATGTTAATTTCGTTTTTATTTTAATTGTCATCGATAAATCAGTAAACCTTTGTTACTATTCTTAATATTACTGACAATCTAAGTATTACTAAGTACTGAAAAGTTTAACAGTTGTTCTCTCAGTATTTTGCCACATTTCCATCTCGTTTTGCACCATTATCTGTTTCACCACTTGACGTCTTCTTCTGTAAACATTATACACATTGCAATAAACACTGCTTTGTAAATAAAATTAATCTAAACATTATACATATTGTAATAAATACTACTTTGTAAATAAAATAAATATATCATTATATCCTTCTTTTCACTATTGCTTCCTAACATGAAGGCATTTAGAAAAGACTAAAAAAATTGATTAACATAAACACTGATTTAAAAACATTTTGCGTAACACTTTCACAGCCTAAGAGTCTTTAATTCGTAATTTAAAACATATGCATTTACCTTTCTATAGTATCATTTTTTTAAAAGATACATAACATACACTACCTTCGATACATATAAAAAATACCAGTAGCAATTATGATAAACAATAATATTGGAAGTAACCACAATTCGTAAGCCATTGAATCTGAAACAATTCCTATGCAAATTCAGACAAGAATAATAATTTTATTTTTATCATCTTGCGTGAAATATACCTATCATAGTACACTAAATATAAATACATAAAGAAGGTTAATATGGTAACAAATATGAAGTAATTTGTGCACATAGTTAAATATAAAGTAATACTTTATTACGTAAACTTTTGTTGTGATTGTCTTGCAAAGTCGCAAAAATAATGCGGTGTACGTGTTTTACGCAAGCGTGTAAGGATCCATACACAAGAAAAAAAATATCGAGACTTACGTTTGCAATCAGTTTTCACAGTTTGCCAGTTGCTTTCAATTGTTACATTCTCTGCAAGTAATGTGCATTTGACTGAATAAACAGAACCAGGATTTAAATGAGTAAAATATCCTATCAAATGTGTCATATTTTGAAACAGTCTATTCCATGATTGTGTAAAAGTGTAATTATTTTCTCCCTGTAAAAAAAACCAACAAAACATTTATTTCATTTTTTTTCTTTTGAATGTGTAGAACAATGGTTAAACTTATAGATCTTAGATTAAAAAACGTTTTTGGTACTTCGATAATAAGGAATCATAAAAAAAAAACTACTTTTTCGATTAGTATAAAAGAAATTAGGAAGAAATTATTATTTACCGTAAGAGTGAAGAAATACTTTATTGTTATTTGTTCGTATTCTTCTTTCCACACTATAGGAAGTTTAGTACGAATGCTTGTTGAAGTAACGGAAACAATTTCAGGTACTGTGAGCTTTTTTATGCCTTAAAAAGAAATATAGCTCATTTGTTTGTCTAACAGCAATTATAAAATTAACAGAAGTTTCTGACTAATATAATCAATGTACTGTATCAGTAAAAGTCAGAAATTACCTATGTGACACAAAGGTGGCACGTATTTTAATTCTGAGGTATCATTACATCCGCTTATACATTCTCCAGTTACTCTGTTACATTTAAAAGTGTCAGTAGGTTTACAAAAACCACATTTTTTTATACAATTATATCCATACGAATTCTCGTCACATACTGCAATTACATGTATTTAGTATCNATATGTATTACATGTGTTATATTAATATACAACAAAATTGTAAGTTACTTCTTTCAATTTACTTACCATTAGCACATGTATCGCCTTGAAATCCTGAAGAACATAAGCAACCAGTGTTGTAACAAATTGCAGTTCCTCTGCAGTTAAAAATACTGTTTAGATCAAGTGTGCAGGAAAAGGAACANTCTGGCCCAATAGTTCCCTCATGACAAATTTTATCATCTGTGAGATGATCATAGGAATGCAATTATTTTGTATACAATGTATTATAGAATGGTATCAATTACAACTACAACATTATTGTATTGTGCTATTTGAAAAATCATAATACAAAAATTTGTACTAATAGTAACATATAAACTTTTACATNTAATAATTTGAAAGTAGATAAATACCTAAGTTCACGCTGTTTGATGCTGTCGACAGAGAACTTACGACGGTACTTTCGTTGAAAAGTAATTTTTGGCATGTAACATTGGGCAACGGAATTAACTCATAGTATCGTTGTGTAAGAACTGTTGTTCTCAAAACTTCTAATANAAAAATATAACCCATAAAAACAAATTTGTATAAAAAAATAGTAGTGACACTTTTTTAGGAAGTTTAAGTATTTCTCTTAATACATATTTTAATGTTACATATAAATATACAAAATCAAAACTGTATGCATATATATATTTTTACCTTTATTGGGACATTCACGAAGATCACCTATTGCCCACAACGGATTGTGAGTAAGCTTCGTGAGTTTAGGTATTACGCGGATTTTTACCGCACCAATAGTGTTTATGGAAAAATATCCATCAAATTTAACGAGTTGCCACATAGGTAAGCCATGAATCGCAGCATTTACTGAGCCTGTGGCTGTTACAGATTGTAATATTTTTAATCTTTTGGAATCAATTATCGCAACGTCTGCATCACATTCTGCACATAAGCCTAATAATAATTGTATGCATATCTTCTGAGTATTAGGTATATAATAACTAGTTGTTAAAACTGCATTCTTGTCAACTGTATACAGGAAAGAGTCTGAAACACAATATTAAAAATTTTATCAAGTTTTGAAAGTCAATAAGCAAGATATCATTGCAAGAAATAAAAAAAAGCATTTTAAGTATTGAAGTGTATAATATCAAATAATATAGAAAAATTTTTAAACCTTTTTACTTTTAAAGTTTTTAGCCAGAAAAAGACATTTTGTTCTTTATAGTTTATTTTGTTCTTTATAGTATTTATTTTTGCGTGATTTAAGTAGAGAAAATTAAAACTTTGACAAAGTACATTACGTTCATAAATTGTTGTATTTTGAGATATTTGCGATAAAGTATTCGGTACAATTTTTTTCTATAAGCAAGCAGAATAGTGAGAATGATATAATTTTAACAAACAAAATCGTGTGTTTTTTAGATGAGAATTATGAACGTATAATATTCTCAAACAACAGTTCAATGCACGTTCAAGTACACATTGCAAGCTTGAAAATGTTGGTGAATGTTTTTTAACCGATAATTTGCGGTCGAACTACAGCAATTTAAATAATGTCTAATGTGAAGCGATTGGAAAATGTTTCTTTATTTATAGGCTTATTGTAAAGTATAAAAGAGATAAAAGTATCGTTTTTATATTTTGCACTGTTTGATTAAATCATGTAACCACGAAAAATACTTTTTATACAAAGTAGTGATATGTGAGTAAATGTTTTTTAAAATTATTATTTTAGAAATATATAATGTGAAATCCACTTGAATGTGGAAAATGCTTAAAAATTTAAAATTGAGAAATGCGTGCAGACCACTAAAAGCATGAAAACACAGTTGACGTTGTAATATCGATGTTTTATTTAGTTACAGAAAAACAATGTTTTGACTATAGGATTTGATTGGTTTTAAATATGCATAAATATGACACAGCAATAGCAATAGTTTTTCAAATCGCTCTTCTCTAAAATCACGGGAATGTGATTTATCAAGATCTTCTCTTGTGGTCTTTGTAATATAATATCGCACACGTATACACAATATGAATAAATTATTATTTTGGGCTTCTTTAAACTTGTTTCGTCACGAATATGTCGTTAGATACTTATTGTAAATACCAGATACGTGTGTGGCAGACAAAACTTCTTCGAAAGAATCTATTTGCACTTGTCAGATCACAAATTTGTTGTATTTTGTGTTTTTGTTTGGTTAGAAGAAAGTACAGTACAGTAATAATTAAAAAACGTTATTGTTTTGAATAAATATACTTACAGTAATGAATGCGATACAACGATGTTCGATGGTCGTAAAAATTTAATGTAGAAAGACAAAATAAGTCAACATATTCTTCTGAAGTTAAGTCAATCTGTTCTGCTTCAAATGTAAGCACTTCGTTATTAGTACCATAAACAGAAATATTTCTTTTCCAGAAATCCCATGAAATGACGAACGTTCGCCATTCAGTCGCAGATAATGACATCCACTGAAATAATTGTAAATACTTTAGTTAAATATACTGCGTATCTAATTATTTTGTTTAGATCATGTTCTCTGAACTTTTATTCTTTACATGATTTTTTCTTTTTTAACAACGTCATAAAAAAGTATTACATTTAATCACTTATATCTCAATTACAAGCATTTTTTGTTCAGGTTTGATTAAAAAGTTTTTTGATAATGTAGAAAAAAAAACATAAGAACTGCA